TTGCAGGGTTTGGGGTTTAGTAACACTTTAAGCAATATTAGGGCAGTTTGAGTGGGCAGCCAGGGGCAGTAAAACTGTGCCTCAGCTGACTATTTTCACAGCCCAGCCCACTGTCTGAAAGAACAAAAAAAGTTGAAGGGGCTGGGACAAACTATAATATTGCCAGGGGTGCTTGAGTAGTTGGAGGAACAGCTTTTTTTAAACCCAATTATTGGATCCAAGCATGTAAATGAAGAGTAAACATTGTAACCACAGTTTGTTTAACCCCTATTAGTCTTAAATAAAGGTATACCAAATGAAAACAAATACAAATATATAGAACGATATTACAACTTGTATTTAGCCTAGGCTCACATTTGTCTGCACTCTGCGGGCTGGTTGCAGGTGCAGGAATCGCAGCTGTTCCCGCACCGGCAGCCAAATCGCACTGCTCTTACAAGACGTGCAGGGCTGTCATTCATTCTGAATGACACCCCCACGCATCTCAGCCTGCAGCGCATTTATAGGTGGGAACCACAGGGAAACAGCATGGTCAAAAAATCATTTCCCTGCCGGACGCATTTTTAAACAGGTGCATGCACCTTTTTTTCTTCAGGATACGTGTGAGTACAATGAACACAATACATTTTTTTTGTTATAGTTGTCTTTTTAAACTGTTCTGAACCACCATTCCTCAGCTGGAGAATGGAATTTGTAGAGTTCTCAAAGTACTACACTGGAGATATGAAGCCATGTATGGTCTAACAGTGGACTCAGGGTAAAAAACTAGAACATCAAATGAATCATTTTATTAAAGAAACAGATTAATAATTATTTTAAAATAAAAACGTGGTAATATATACCTGACTAGAGCAAACCACAAAGGGAAAACATACCAGTAGAATTTTTATTGTTTTTATTAAACACATTTTAGGCTGTCCACAGTCCTAATGCAACAGAATACTGTATATCCCATCTTCCTGTTATTTTAAGCCCATGTCCGCTTAAAGTGTTACTAAACCCCCGGACCCTGCATTCACTATATATGGTTTCACACAGTACACAGAACATGGAAATGCAATTATTTTAGTAAATATAAACTGCTAAAGGCCTTTTCTCACCAGCAGTATATAACAGTCTTGTGACTTCTATCAATGTCCAGCACAGCACTGGTTAAAGCATGTAGGAGGAGTTTTCATTCTCTCCTGACTATCCTATGAGACTGCAGGATCCCTGACCCTTTGTCTGGACAGTGCTGATTGGCCCTGTGTTGATCACATGCACTCTTCCAAGAGAAAAGAAAACACTCTAGCAATAAACACCAAACTGAGCATGTGCAGCTTGTTCCCAAGGCTCTGTTCTGTCAGGAGATGAGTTGGGGACAGTGGAAGAAGGGGAGAATCAGAGAAGACAGGATTAAATATCCTTTTTACACAAAGCAGAGGATTAACCCCTTAGGTTCCACAGTGAGTATAACAAGCATGCTTTACTGCATATACAGACTGGTTTTACTGTTGTAGGTTTAGTAGCACTTTAAAATGAATGGAAAATGAGTGTTATTTGTGTGTGGCAACAGTGATTTAGGGAAAACTGGGATGTGTTCCCTTGCAATTCATTTCAACTGTTCATTTTACTTATTGAATGGTACTTTAAAATATAACACGATTTATGTTTAAAAGTATAAACATTATTTACTATTAGCAATCTGTAAGAAAAAAAAGGCTAAAAATAAAATAATGTTGATGACATATTTTCCCCCTTAATTTTAAGATGTTTGCATATGGCATGTGTTGTTAAAAATCAATATGATGTGTAATGGAAGAAACAACAACCCACCCATACATTAATATACGTTTGCTGGTGCGTCATCCAGTATGTTTTAGAGATTGTAGGCTTTTTCCATTTGTATGATTCAGCTGACTTTGGCTGTTATCTGGCTCATTGTGAGGGTGTGTGAGTTCCAGTTTTGGAAGCACGATGTAATAAGGCTGCACAGATGTACAAGATTAGGAGCCATGTTGATTTACATATGTAATCCTCTTTTGACTGAAGACAGTGAACCTGAGTCAATCCAAATATATTATTCTCAAAATTAGCCAAAGGGTCATGAGGCACATGCTTGCATCATGGGAGCCAGATAACTAGCTATGCATGGTACCAATCATAAGACACAAGCTGTGCTTAAAGGTCCAGTCCAAACTTGAAAACAGAGCATTGCAATACTTACAAAGGAAAGAGTCCACATGCCTAGGCCTAGGGCTTTGGTTCTACTTCCTGGCATTGCCTGAGATCAGCAGGCCACTGTGTTATGCCAAATCCTTCAGTCAGTGGTCACCCAGTACTAGGATTAATAACGCCTAATCCTAAACCTGCAGAAATTTAAATTACTCCATTTTATACATTTAAAAATATAACCCCAGACAACCCAACATGCCTGATATAATCTTTACTAGCCAGAAAAGCCTTTTTTTAAATTATGTTTTCATTTTGTGATTGTTTGTTTGTTTTTACTTGTATCTAATTTTACCTGATTTCTTGCCAAACATTCATCAATTGCAATCCCATTATTCAATATGCGTGTCTTACCCTAGGATCACATCTGTGAGGGTGGTGCCGCTGTGGATCTGCACAAAAATTTGTGCAGCCACACCACCCGCACAGTGAAATGCGGACTCGCGGGCGGGTGCCATTGTGTTCTAATGGCAAGCCATGCGTACTGGAAAAAGCAACCGTACTGGGAACCGAGGTTCCTGTGCAGGCTGCGTTTTCCAAAGAAGTGCAGGGACTTCTTCCCTGCATGTCACGGGCACGGGAATCCATTCAAATGGATTGCGGCCTGCATGGCAGCATATCTGTAATCCGGGAGCTAGTGGCTACGGAGGCCATTGGGAAATTAAATGACATTAATTAGCAGATCTTAGCCATATGATGGCAGGGACAGGTAGCAAAGTAAAACTAGTTTACAGAGCATTTGGCTAACAATGGTAATAGTTGTCAAGTTCTGATGCAGCAGTTTTAGTTAAAAAAACATTTTAAATGGAATACATGTCACATTAATTGAGCATGAGGGTCCTACTCATTACAACATTTATTAAAATAAAATTCTGGTCAAGTAGTTAAAGTTGAATTTTATCTAAAAAAAATTAAATAAAGTTCCTCTACAGCTTTAGACGCGTCACTTATCTGTAATGGAGTATGTCCCACGTTGTGCAGACAGATAGATCCTAAAGACGTTCTCACTTCAGGGATGCCTGTCCTCTTCCTGGCTCCCAATTTTCAGAGTTGCAATGGTTAACAGCTTCAGGTCTTCAGGAAGAACAGCAGTAGAGATGGTGTGACAGGGACATGCCCCCTCCTTCCTCCTCCTCAATTAAGAAAAGTTATTTCACTGATTACATTGATTGTACACAATCTGTCAATGGGGGAGAGAATCCTGTGACTGATCAGACTCTAACCCATTTACAGATCATGTTACAAGCAGTGTAATCAATGAAATAACTTTTCTCATTGGAGGAGGAAGAGGAAGGAAGGGGTGCCCCCCCCATCGAACCATCATCTATGATAGAATACTTACCTTTATAATACCTGGTGTTTTTTTTCTTATATAAACATATACCGTATTTATTTAGCATTTGTAGCCCTACCCTCATAAGGGCTGCTGGATTTGGCTTGGGTCCCCCTATGCTCTGCACAGCCACGCAACACACATTTTCCACACCTGTAACTTGTATGGGGTCTAGGGGTATATGGGGTGCCCAAGCAACTGTAGAACGTGAGGACAAACATCTTCGCAACTATGTACAAAAATGTGGACAAGGAAAAATATAGCATGGTCCCTTTATGGAATGCTGTTGTCTCTTTTTGGTGTACCTCCTCAGACCCCGGATGAATCCTCCTCTTCAACCAGAAGCTTGCAGTTATGCAGTCCCGGATGAGAACCAGTTGGGTATTGCACTTGTCCACCCTCTCCCCTAATCTGGCCCAGGGACTGTAGGAGTACTCACACTGTCCTGTCCACGTGGTGGGCTAGTAGCTACTTCCAGGCCTTTCACTGGGCTGGCTCCTTCCCTGCTGCTCAGGATGTTCTCCCTAGGAGACATTGGGCAGTGGAGATTCTCCTGTCCAGCAACCAGCCTGTAGGTAGGCTTCTCTTCCTGGGGCCTCCTCCCAGGCTTCACACTCCAGCCTTCCTATCAGTCCATCTACCACCCGACTCCACTTGCTGCCCAGGCTCTATCATATTTGAGGGTTGCACTGGTCACCATGCCCAGCCTCCTGCTAGGGGATTGGCCAAGGTCCCTCAAACATGCAGAACTGAGCCTCCACCTCTCCTCCATCCCTCTTCTAGAAAGTTCTTCAATTTCTGGAAAGGGGGGAGGGCTTCAGAAGCCCTGACCTGTAGAACCTCCCTGCCTGTCCTGAGGTGAACTCCTGCCTCACTCCCAGGCTGACTCATCCCAAGCTGCTACTCAGCCTCTATCTAAAAAGCCAACAAACCTAGCTAACCTAGAGGGTGTTACACATTTTTAATTCAGTATCTATAGTACTTATTTATATTATGTTTTTACATGTATTTTTATTTGTGTGATCAGGTTATTTTTTATATATATATTTTTATGCATCATAGTTCCATACAGTATGTTATACTATATTTGTATCCATTCTTTTGCTAATATATTCCACTCGGTACAGTCAGCTAAGGGTGGACACCCTGTTCCCTGTTATATACTGTGCTTCTTTTTTCATAGGCTTTTGCACTGCCTGCTAAGGCTTAATGTTACATCCTTTTGTATATTAACCTTATTTTTGCACAATGTTTGTTTATCTGCACTTTGTAGTTCCCCCTCTGTGCAGCTTACTAGGGGGTTAATGGCCTCCCCACATGATCGGTCCTTATTGTGTGCTAATCTCTGGTTCTGCATCCTGTGGTTCCCCCTCTGTGCAGTTCATTAGGGGTTAATTGCCTCCATTCATGATCACCCCTCATGTTAACCCCTTCATGCCCAGTGCAATTAGTACAGTGTCAGTGCTTTTTATTAGCACTGATCACTGTATTGGTGTCACTGGGGATGTCAGTGACACCAAGTCAGTTCCCCCCAGTGTCAGAATTCCCACCACAGTCCCTCAGTCCCGCTATAAGTTGCTGATCGCCGCCATTACTAGTAAAAATAAAAATTCCATTATATATACCACCATTTCTAAACGCTATAACTTTCACGTAAACCCATTAATGTACACGTATTTGGATATTTTTTTAGCAGAGACATGTAGCAGAATACATTTTAGCCTAAATTTATGACAAAATTAGATTTTTTATATTTTTTTACTGGACATGTTTAATAGCAAAAAGTAAAAAAATACTGTTTTTTTTTCTCAAAATTGTCTGTCTTTTTTTTATAGCGCAAAAAATAAAAAATACACAGTTGATCAAATACCACCAAGAAAGCTCAATTTGTGGGAAAAAAAGGATGTGAATTTTATTTGGGTGCTAGCATGACTGCGCAATTGTCAGTTAAAGTAACACAGCGCCGTAATGCAAAAAATGGTCTGGTCAGGAAGGGGGGTAAATCCTATGGAGGGTAAGTGGTTAAATAATGCAGACATCCTTTGTTCTTACAGCTAAAAGTGAATTGCCAATTGCCTTTAATAAAAATTGTGCTCATGCTACTGCACTTAGTCTGGCGCCCTTTGCTGTTCCATTCAAGTGCAAGAGTGCACTGCTGTGCAGTGGTGGGTAATGGAAATGGATGGCTTGTGAATGTTCATGTGCTGGTGGCAAGGAGTGCACACCGAGGACTTGAGTGGGAGAGCTTGCTCTGTGCTCTCCTCTCACCTCCTGACCTAGAACAAAGTAGCCAAGAGCCACACGTAAGCAGCATGGACATGGAATGCAAATGATCTTAAAAAAGCAAGTTTACTGACCTGAGACATCTTCACATAATTTGTGTTTAAAGAAAGGTTGTAACAGTTATCAATTAGAATACTTCTTTAGAGTAGCACATACATACACGCACGAACAAACACGCACACACATACATACTGAAAGCGTAGTAAAAGAGAATTGGTCTAAAAAAATCCTGTTCTTTTGTGAATCAATGTATCAGTTTCTGATTTGCCTCCAAAATGTTCTCCTGGGGCTATTTAGCTGTTCTTATGAATGTTTAAGTGAATAAATTAATCTGGACACAGGAAGATAGATGCTAAGAGCTTTTGGAATGAAATCTGGTTTTAATCTAATACCAAATCATTTGTAATTTCCCACTGGAACTTTCATAATTCTCTGTTGCAATGGTAATGAGGTTAGATTTTTCCAATCCCAGCAGTGATGAAAATTATCAAGTTGGTTGAGTTGACATAAGTGTTAAAAATTACAATTACGGGCTAAAAAGTTTATCTTTAAAGAAGTACTCTATTTTCAAAACCTCTGTCTACATTTGGGGCTGCTCAGCAGCACATCCATGGCCGTAAAATTGGGACAAATGGCTGTGTCTGTGCAGCTGCTGCATCCCCACAGAAATGAATGGACTGTCTGTATGCAGCACCTGGTGGCTCAAATCACAAAAAACACGCAACCAACAGACTACGGGAGTTAGTGCTTCTGTGAATGGGACTTTAGGGTCGGCACTTTACTCACAGGTCTGCAATTTTTAAGAAAGCCGTAAATGAGGGTAGAAGAAATCTATAGCAAAGACTGATTTGGGCAGGGGAAGCACTTCCATGATTATGGCACAGGGAATATAAGTATGTACCTTCTGTTGCTAAAATGTAATGTGCAGTGTGAGTGATGTAGACAGGTACTCTTTGGTCCACATTGCTGACATTGCAGAATTCTCACAGTTGGTCAGAGTTAGCAATGTGCTCCCCACCCTCCCTCCCTTGTGTCACTTTTTCTATAGAATATTATTGATATCTTATTGATAGAATTATTTCAGATAGCGCGAGTCCTAAAAGACTGAGTAAGTTTATTCATGGTTTATAATTAAAGTGTAAGAGTTTTGAATAAATTATATTGCAAATTTAATTTCTGTGTAATTACCAATAAAAGTGCCGCGGCCAAAATTTTATGCAAAAAGAATAAATATTGTGTGTGTGTCATTATTTAAATATAAATAAGTGTAGTTATTTCAGGCATGAGGGATAATGTGCGGCCTTTCAATAAAAAAAAAAAAATAAAAAAAAAAAAAAAAGGTTCAAAAGCAACTTGCCGGGGGCGCTCGTGAGCAGCAGCCAGGATGGCTGCCTAATAAATTCCTGTCTCGGCCACCGGGCATATCGGCCGATTTTTGACCTTCAGGGGGGGTCCCTCCGCTTCCTCCCTGGCCCCCTGTCCCTCCAGCACCCTGATGGGGAAAAAACGCCGGCCGCCCGCACCTCCAGCACCCGGCGGACCGTGCGGGAAGTTGCGGCCTACCCGCCGGAGATCGCGGGTGAAGCCGCGGCCTCGATTTTGGGCCGGCCGCCGGAGGCTTCCAGGACCCCGGCCGCGGATTCGCGGTTCCCGCCGGGGACAACAGCTGGAGCCCTGGCTGCAAGTTTGGGTCCCCTGCCATCCCTACCTGCAGGTGAGATGGATCCTGGCAGTGGGGAAGACCTAGATTCAGAGCCATCCCGGCGGTCTCCCATTCCATCCCTGCGGGATGCTGAGCTCCTGCGCCGCTTCAAATGTATGCTGCAATCTGAATTGTCCTCCGCTACCTCCAAGCTGGCCGACCGTCTTTCGCGGGAAATTCGGGATTTGGGCAATCGGACGAATGATCTCGAGGATAAAATGGACGCTGCGGCCACGGTCATTGAAAATCACGAACAGGACCTGTGCGACCTTAAGAAGGAATTGGCGGACGCACTACTGCGGCTTGAGGATTTCGAAAATCGTTCCCGCCGCGGCAATTTGCGGTTAAGGGGTATCCCGGAAATGGTCACAGATCTTACCTCCACTGCTACTGCTCTGTTTCAGGAGCTGACATCCGCTATTCCCATTGACCGGCTTGAATTTGACCGCATACATCGTTCTTTGGGCCCCAGACGACCAGATGGGCCCCCGAGGGACATTATCATCAAGTTTACTTATTACCGCACTAAGGAAACCATCCTCTTGGCGGCCAGAAATAACCCTGATCTTAGCTTCCAGGGGCACCGCTACCAGCTTTTCGCGGACCTCTCTCAGACCACTCTCCAGAAACGCCGCCAGTTGAAGCCCTTCACTTCGGTCCTGGTGAAACAAAGAATTAAATACGCCTGGGGCTTTCCGTTCCGCCTCACCTTCACCTACCAGGGCCGCAGTCATTCTGTGGCTACGCCGGAGGAGGCCCATTCTCTCCTGGAATCTCTACATCTTCTCTCGCCGGAAGCTGCTGATCGGAGCCCAGCTCATTCATCTGGATCCTCGGCGAGGCCTCCTCCTTTGGGCCGCATCTGGGAGCGGCCGTCCAACAGGAGGGGGGCTCTCCCTCAGACCCCTTCGCGATCAAGTCCTTCCTGTTCTTCTCCAGGCTGAAGATGCGCCTTGGAACTCCCACATATCGTTTCACGAGGGACTACCCTGACGAGATCGTGAGTTTGGCCTTAGGGTCTTCCCGGTTTGTCGACATTCTAGGTTGGGACTGCTCCGGCTTGCTCCTTTGGGTTACATCCCGGGTTGGGGGGGGTCTTTCCCTGGACTTAAGAATCGGGACTTTTTGCTGCCGTAGCTTATTTTGGGTCCATATGCTGGTAATTGGGTCTACGTTGGTGGCATTGGGTGATGGTTTCCTTGGGCTCCGGGGTGGGGAGGTTGACCCGGTGGGCCTGGCAGGGTGGAAGGGGGTTGGCCCCTATGGTTATCCGGGTTTCTATGGGGAGGTTATCGCGGAGGTCCCTGCTCCTGGGACTTTTAGTTTTATTAAGTTTTACTATATTATATTATGTTCATTGTCCTTTTTGCCCCCTGAGGGCTTCTGTTTTGATGTTTCCATTTGCAGCCATGTGTCCGGTGGTAGAGTTACCCCTAACTGTATCCTTCATGTGTAGGATGCACGTCACCATTGGTGTGACACGATTGCACTGTTTTGTATACTTTTTGTGTCTTTTTCCTTTTTTTTTCTTTCTTTGTTCTTTTCTTTTTCTCTGTTTTTTTTTTTTTTTCTGCAGGGTTCCGGGACGCCATGGTCCGATCGCCATTGGGAGTGGAAATTGCTGGCTGCTTTGGGCTTTTTTCTGCTGAGCGTGTTGCGTTGATACCGCCATGGCCTCGCCCCTTTTGAAAATACATTCGCAAAATGTTCAAGGCTTCAATTCGCCTCAGAAACGGGCTAAAGTTTTTCATCACCTCAAATCGCAACAAATTGATGTGGTATGTCTACAGGAGACAAGGTTTTCCCGGTCCTCCGCTCCGCGTTATCTTTCACCTCACTATCCCATCTTTTACACGGCCTCAGCTCCTGAGAAGCGTCGGGGTGTTCTGATAGCCTTTAAACGCAATCTCCCCTTTGTCTGTTCTAGGCATATAGCGGACCCCACGGGCAGGTATTTGCTTCTGCAAGGCACCCTCTGGGACCAGGAGGTTACCCTTGTCTCTTACTACGCGCCTAACCGTTTCCAGCATAAATTTTTTTCGCATCTTTGCACCATTGTTTCTCGACACTCTAAGGGTCTTCTTCTTGTTATGGGGGATTCGAATGTTACCTTGGATTCCACATTGGATAGGCGCTACGCACAGGGAGCGACTCCCTCTCATGACTTGGTGCTGGAGGAACGTATGCGCTCTCTTTTGCGGACGGCGGGGCTAGCGGATGTCTGGAGGGAACTTCATCCAACTGAACGTGACTTTACGTTCTATTCCAATCCTCATGACAGTTTTTGTAGAATTGATCATATATTCATGCAGGTCCAGCAGCTCCCCTCGGTCCGGCGGATAACTATTCCCTCCTCACCCTGGTCAGATCATGATCCTTTGGTACTCCTCCTTGCCCTTTCTGGGTCAGAACGGCGCCCTTTTCATTGGCGCATCAATGACTCTTTGCTGACCACTCAGGCTACCTGCCAACAAATAGAATTCTTTTTACGGACATATTTTACGGAAAACTCGGGATCGGTCTCTTCAGCAGTGCCCCTATGGGAAGCGCATAAGGCCACGGTGCGGGGTCATGTTATACAGCTGGCTGCAGTTCGGAAGCGGGAGCGGGAACGCCGACTCTTGGAGCTCCATTCTCTCCTGGCCTCTGCGGATGCGCGTTGGAAGTCATCTCCATCCGTGGCCCATAAACGCGCTCGGGA